GGGGATTGGGATAGTCTTACGCATTTCTACCAAAATGGTTGGATTACATGTTGCTATTTTCGCAAGTGATTGTTTATAACTTGTATTTTGAACGACCTTTTTATCGATAATCGACTGGATCCATCTCGAAAGGTGTTCCATAGGGTGTTTTGGACTTTCAAACAGTGTGCCGACGCCTCCAATTATTGCAAACCGGTTATTGAAATATATGTTACCCACTTATATGGGAAATATCGGGGACCCTATTAATTGCTACAACTATAGATGACAATAATTACGTTCTACCAATCACTTTCATGGTGGTTTTCGGAGAGAATTTTGATAACTGGTCATGGTTTTTAGCATTGATATAGATGCATATGATAGAAAAATAATGCATCTGTCTTATTTCTGATCGACATGCGGCCATATTGTCTGCAATCAATAATGCAACGCTAGGCTGAAACCACTGAAGCATACCATGTCTACTTTATTCGACATCTTGCCAGCAATTTCAACCACAACTTCAAGAATGCGATGTTGAAGAAGCAACTGAAGAAGTTAGGCATAATTATAGACTTATTCATCTCTTGGTTGACCACATGTGCGAAATATATCATCGAAATATGACTTTCTTGTTGTATGCAAGTTATACACCTCCCCGATTGAATTTTGATGCCGGATTATAAAAAATTAAAGAAGCTAGTCCTCAAATAGTCGCATGGATATATCACATACCAAAGGAGAAATGAAGCATCACATACGATGCAAAGGGCATAGGTTTAGTCACATGAACACTAACTTGTCAAAGTATGTTAATAAGGTCCACAAGGGTGCTAGAAACCTTCCCGTCACGTCTTGGTGCGGCTCACATATGCTCGATTGGCCCAATATTTTTTGGAGCATGTCCAAGAGGCCCGTGAAGAGATGGACGGGGGTAACCGATTCACCAAAGTACTTTGGCAAGCATATGTTACAAATCAACAAAAAGTCGCAACACATTTGAGCTCAAAAAGGCGCGATTTGAGGTGCGAGAATTGTACAACCAACGTACTTATTAGGGCAGTAAAAAGTGGTCAGTTTCATTAACTGATAAGACATGTCAATGTGGTGAATTCATTACTTTTAGGTACCCATGCAGTCATGTGATAACAGCTTGCATAGCCACAAACCATGACCCATTTCAATACATTAATCCTTCTTACAGTGTCGCGTATCAACGTCGGGTATACTCACGGCAATGGTACCTGATTGGCAATGAGGATTTCATACCACAAAGTAAGGGATCAAGTGTCATCCCAGATGTATTGATGAGACATCATAAAGCTCGGCGTAAATGTACCTGTATACAGAATGGAATGGATATCCAAGAAGGGACCATTACTCGCATGCAATGCAGTTATTGTATAGTAGTTAGCACAATAGATGTAACTATCCTTCACGCCAGCCTATGGATCGTTGAGCATTATTGTTTATGGCAATGTTAATTTTAAATTCCTTCAATTACAAAATCTTGATGTCAATGTTTGTATGTATGTTAATGAAAAGTATTGTCCTTCATGCCACCTCACATAGTGACTAATATGTTAATCATCTTGCTTTAATGATTAAAATAAACAACATAAACAGAATAAATAGTAGAACACAGTCCATAGTACATAACCAGACATCACACCATGGTATCAAAATGAAATAAATAAAGATAACAATCCATAGTACATCACCAGACATCACACCATGGTATCAAAATGAAATAAATAAAGATAACAATCCATAGTACATCACCAAACATAAACCATGGTATCAAAAAGAAATAAATAAAGATAACAGTCCATAGTACGTCACTAGCCATGCATCCATGATATCAAACATACATAAATAAAGAAAATAGTCAATGGGGTCCATGATCACCCTGGCAGAGTCTCGTGTCATGCTCATATAGTGAGAGGAGGCATCGATATCTGGCCCCTATAATAGGGTTCCTTTGTATGCCCGCATCATCGTCCACATATTGTGCAACATCGGGCAAAACCACATCATTAATGTCTCGGTCTCAACAAAGTCCGCATAGTCGTTGATTTTCTCGCAACAAAAAACTAGGTTCAACCAACCTTCTTTCAACTCTCAATTTATAGATGGCTCAATTCCTATATATTGGTTAATCACCTGGGGTGAATTTTGCTGACTACTACGACCGAAGACAACTTCACCATCCGTGGGCAAAACCCAAGATATGGTGTATGGCCTCCAAGGTGATTGTCATCTCACCCCATGGCATGTGAAATGTCTGTGTCTCAGGCCGCCAACGTTGTCGATCTGAAATAATAAGATAGCTAATGATATCGAATTATTACAATTAAACCCTATGAACTTTAACAACCAATAAGTGTACATTCACCTCGTGGTTGTGCAACCGCGCAGCCTCAAAGAAGCAACCTGTCTCATATACGACACGATCTATTCATGTATATTTTAGGGATCATATGTGCTTGCATGTCTAACATTCCATTTACGACGCTCCACGCCGTTCCACACATATGTGGATATATGTTTCTCCTACAAAGTCAGAAGAGAGTGGTCAACAAGTCCCGGGGTAATCTAGGAACGAGGAGATCCCAGAGAACCAGGATGTGTGGGGTCATTACCCTCACGAGGCGGTGAACCAGTCGGAGACTCCATCAATCTATTAAAAAAATAATTAAAAATTAATAATGCTATTTATAAGCATTATTTTACATGAAAAACAAATATGTCAACTATCTTAAATTAGAATTAAATAAAATATATACAGCAATAATATTCAATAAAATATTAATATTCCATTTATAATTTTAATTTAAAATATAAAATTAAATATTAAGTATCCTATAATTTACCTAAACTAATTCATACAAGGAAAATAATACATATCAACTAACATATGGTTTAATCCCTATACTAAGAGAAAAAAATAAATATTAAAATATCATTTATCCTACTATTTCAAGTCCCGTAATAAATTAGAATTAAATAAAATATATACAACAATAACATTCAATGAAATATTAAAATTCCATTTATAATTTTAATTTAAAATATAAAATTATAATATTAAGTATCCTATAATTTAGTTAAACTAATTCATATAAGAAAAATAATACATATCAACTTTAATTTCGTACTTCTTTTTGACATTGTTTGTCAAAAATAAATAAATAATACATATCAACTAACCCATGGTTTAATCTTATACTAAGAGAAAAAATAAAAATTGAAATATTATTTATCCTACTATTTCAAGTATCGAAATAAATCAGAATTAAATAAAACATATACAATAATAATATTCAATAAAATATTCAAATTTCATAACATTTTAATTTAAAAGATAAAATTATAATATTCCATTTCCTATAATTTACCAAACACAAGATGTGCGTGAAAGGTATTTGGCCAATAAAAACTTTTAGCATCACTATCACTGTCTACCGGAGCTTGTTTGGTGTGACGTATAAGACAAGATAGTATAAGTTTACACTATACGTTATAACATTGTCAGTTGTTTGGTGTGACTATCGTATAGTATAAGTTTATACAACAGAATCCTTTGATACATCAAAGTGATGTATAACTTAATCCGGCCTAAGGGGGAGAGATAAGGTCTGATAAGAAGTTAGTGTATTAACATCGTTGACCAGTGCAATTCTAAAAAATTAATATTGAAAATATTGAATATTTTTATTTTTATAATTTTTATGTTTTGGATACATTGATCAATAATTTTTTATAAAAATTAATATCATATGACATTTTTTGAAGAATTATATAAATTTTTTATTAAAGGATATTTTTATTAAAAATATTTATTTTTGTCCTATATAGCATTATACAGTGCATTACCAAATACTATATGATATTATCATATACAATATATTATTTTATACAATACCGTGCCAAACACTGGATAGTATTAAAATTTAATCAAGTCTTATACTCTCAGAACTTATAATATTAGACCTTATCTTATACTATACACCAAATATGCTCCTGGGAAAAGTGCTTATTAAGTTAAAAATTCGTACCCAAATTTGTTACTGCTCAATTTTATAAAAACTTGTAAGGAGCTAATCGGACTGCAAGTAGCAATAATCGAATGAATTAATGTTTAGTAATATACGAATCACACATTTTATCAAACACAAGATATGCATGAATCGTATTCGGCCAAGGCTAATTCAAATCCAGCTTTCAACAACATAATTGGCCAAAGCTAAAGCATAACAAGCTCCAACAAGATATGCATTTGGATTATAATTAACACATCTCTAACTACACCTTCATGACCGAATAAAATTAAGGAAGGAGTTGTGATGGAGGAAGGACCAAAACAGCCTGAGTACTTGAGTTAGGGAAGACACCTAAGTCGCTTGCTTATGGAGTGAAGTTGGTGCCCAGAAACCTAAGTCGCTAAATGTTGTAGCGACTCTGGTTAAATCAGTGCCCACATGTCATATTCATACCAAAGTCGTTACACTTTGATCCAATCAGGTTTTATAGGCTTTTTAAATCACTGAAAATGTGCCAGTGTTCGTTTGTAGTCGCTTCATTACTCAACGACTTCAGCATTATGACAGTTTGAAAAAATATGTGGGATATGTGATATTCAGGTATATTTTATGATAAAAGATGACATTACGGTCAATGTCCCTGAAAATACACTGACAAACATTGTCGTGTGACCTTGGCACCGGCCAAAGCGCAAAATACGTAATTAAAATAAATAAATCAATGTATTTTTTTAAAGACATAAAATTATGTCATTTTAAAGACATAAAATTGTGTTATTTTTAAATAAGAGAAAAAAGTACACAATAAAAATTATGGGAAAAAAATTGGAGTTTTTTTAATTTAAAATTTAAATAAAAAATCCTAATTTTAACTAAAACACATGCTTTGTTACGAGGTCAAACATTTTCTCCTAAAAATGAAAGTATAAAATAAACTGAACCCTAACGCATGTTTGCTTAACATTCGCACCTCAACGAAAATCCTGTCTCCCTGCGATCGCAATATTCACCTTCGCCACGATAATCTTCTGCGGTTCTCTTCACCATTATAGAGCTGCGATTTCAGAGTTCAATACTAAGAGATTTAACGTTCTTGTTTTTACCTAGAAAATTGTCCTCGCAGATTTGTCAATGGTATCTGTCGAAACAAAAGATATGGAACGGAAGCGGAATAGGAAACGGCCTCGTCTCGCGTGGGATGTACCTCCTCCACCACTGCCAGAGGTTACTTCAATTTCTTAATTATTTTTAGGGTTTCTTTCTTTGCTCTATTTTTTCTTATTATAGCCTTACACGGTTGTGCTGTGCGTGCTTCATAACCATTTATTATAGGCGCAAAGGGCTCTGGTGGTGGCTGGTGAAGAAGGAATCGAAAAAAGGCATGCCTCGCCTCCAAAAAGGGATGACGATCGCGAAGGACATTATGTCTTCAATCTTGGCGAAAATCTCACACCTAGATGTAACTTCATTGATTTTTGCTTCTAATTTATTGTTTGTTTCGATGGCTTTGGAAAATTAAACAATTTATATGCGATTGTTTTTCTTGTTTTTAATGCATGCTTCGAACAAGCCATCACCGGTTTCTGTTACTCTTTTTTGCATGCTGTGTTACTGCAATTTTTAATTGTTGCTTTGTTAATGTCTTCTATATACACTCACACATGCAAACATATTGCTTGTAAAAGTCCCTTTCTTTTTTAGCGCTCTATATTAATCTGTTGAAGGTCTCTTTTTTTATTGGTTGTGTTTACTAGTTATTAAGTTTTGCTTACCATCAAACTTTTTGGTTATGTCGTTCGGTTTCTCTTTAGTTCTTGTATTTCAGCATTTGGTCATACTTGATACCATTCACTCACTTCTAATACGATGTTTAATCTGTGATATTCTGTTATCACTCATCCAAGTTGCATTGTTTTTTTTGTTTTTTCCTTTTCTCTTTATCTTTTTAAAGCAGTGGTTTTAATATTTTTCGTACTTTTAACAGATAAAATCCTCAGCAAGATGGGTGAAGGTTAGCGGTCAAGTGCCCTCTGAATACGAGATTTTAATTTTTTTTGTGACTCTGCTTGTGTCATTCAGCATATTGCTAGTGCTGTAGGCACATTTGGTCGAGTTTTGGAATGTTGGGACCGCCAAACCAGAGAATACGTGGCTATCAAAGTAATTAGAAGCATACGGAAATATCGTGATGCAGCGATGCTTGAGGTTGATGTGCTTCAAAATCTAGCACAGAATGATAGAGGAAGCTCAGGGTACAGATCTTACAGAGTAAAATGGCTGCTAGAATTTGGTCATTGCTTATTATATTAAGGGATGACTAACATTCACTGTATCACAATTATTCTTTGCAGCTGTGTGCAGATCCGAAATTGGTTTGATTACCGAAATCACATATGCATTGTAAGTAAGCTTATAATATTTCTTTCAACAAAATGTTTTCCTTGATTTACTATATCCAAGAAGTTTCTTTTGAGAAAATTTGATAGAGTTCAAGATGTATTTACTATTTTTTTGGGGGGGTTTAATTTTTGTATTATGAAATTGGATGTAATGATTGGATTTTGAATAATTTTTCATTTCGTATTTTCTCCGTTGATGCCTTTATGTTGTTTTGCTCTGCTTCTTTCTGTTCAGGAAGGATAGGTGATTAATCCCCATTCATGTTGCTAGTGAATAGAGTTGTTAAGTTTAGCTATAGTGAATTGCTTTTATATTTGTCCATGTGGGCTTTATTCATAGATATGGGAACTAAGCGGAAACATTCCTTTCAATGCATTTTAATGGTGTTGTCAGGTCTTTGAGAAGCTTGGACCAAGCTTATTTGATTTTCTAAAGAGAAATAAATACTGCCCATTCCCTGTGGATCTTGTTCGGGAATTTGGACGACAGCTTTTGGAATCTGTAGCATGTCTGTGGATTTTTCTTGGCCTTCAGTTTATCTCATGTTTTATTCTTATATCTCCTTACCATATCCAACCACCTCCTTTTCATTGGCGTGCTTTGTTTGTCCAGGGATACATTGTGTCTTGGTTGTGTCTACTTACTTTAACTTGCTTCTTGTGCTTTATCATATTCAGATATGCATGAACTACGCTTAATCCACACTGATCTGAAGCCAGAAAATATACTTCTTGTTTCTTCTGAATATGTAAAGCTCCCTAGCTGTAAGGTATTTAGCATTTTTGGATGCAAACATAATGACGGTTTTGGATTTGGGTGTAGACTCAATTATAATATATTTAAATAAAATGATTGGATTGGTACAGAGGGTTTCCTCAGATGAAACGCAATTCAGGTGCTTGCCCAAGTCTAGTGCTATTAAGCTGATTGATTTTGGTAGTACTGCATTTGATAATCACAACCATAGCTCCATTGTTTCTACAAGGCATTACAGAGCCCCTGAGATTATCCTAGGTAACTAAATATGGTTTTGGCTGGTGAGAATGTGTTTTACTTGTTTGTCTATTGCCCTGTCTGAGTGCAAGTGTGTAACATAGAAGACATGTGGTGCTCGGGGAAGAAAATTCTGGATGATGATAAGGAGAAGTGTTTTTACCCATTGAAAATGTTATCAACAGCTTACATCACAGCATCTCTGGTTAAATTGTCCAGGATCACTTCCCGTTTGATTTTAGCTTTGTACTGGAATCTGTAATGACTAATGAATGCCATTTTTCTTATTTAGATCGTATTTGTTCCATGATGATTACATTGTTATTTATTTTCTTCTCTTTTATCATTTATTACCTATTCTTTAAGGATTGATGTTTATATGAGGCTAGAAGATAAAAAATAATAGAATTTCCAATTCTGTGTCATGTTGATGTAATGGTGCCATTTAGGACTCGTTATCTGGGTTATTTACTTGATTGAGGCTTTTTTTGACTAAAATGAAATTAACGATGGGTTATTTACTTGATTGAGGCTTTTTTTGATTAAAATGAAATTAACGAGACTTCTGGGTCTAGCATATAATGTGCACTTATTCTTGTTAAATGTATTCTAACCTGCATCTGAATTTATAAATGTAGGTCTAGGGTGGTCATACCCATGCGATTTGTGGAGTGTTGGATGTATTCTCGTCGAACTATGCTCGGTTGGTGTTTCCATCTATCAAGATATATTAGGGCATGGTTTGAATCTGGAACAGCTGGTCTTAGTGTTCTAAATGTGGAACTTTTGTCAGGGTGGAGCATTGTTTCAGACTCATGAAAATTTGGAGCACCTAGCAATGATGGAGAGAGTTCTTGGACCTCTTCCCGAGCACATGGTTCGAAGGTCCAAGTAAGTAACGAATTTATTGAGTGTGCTCTAATTTTTCCCATCCAATATGCTAACTGGTTTGAGTTACATCCAGAGTGACAGTCTTCCAAGTAATGAATAATTATCTGGGAATAGCTTAAAGGCCAAAGCCGATTAATAATAGTTGAGTATGCTAAGTTTATGTAGTAACATCTTTTTTATCCGTTTACTTGACATATGTAGCCGAGGAGCAGAAAAATATTTCAGGAATGGATCGCGACTAAATTGGCCCGAGGGAGCTGTTTCAAGGGAGAGCATTCATGCAGTGAAGAAGCTTGCTCAACTTAAGGTTTGTTGTGTTTCCTCTTTCCCATAAAAAAATTTCCCTATTCTTTTTTTAATTTTTTTTTGTAATGACCAATTATTATGCTTTATGCAGGATATTGTATCACGTCATGTGGATTCGTCTAGGTCCTCTTTTACTGATTTGTTACATGGCTTATTGACGTATGATACGACTAAACGTCTAACGGCTCGTCAAGCCCTTGATCATCCCTTCTTTAGAAATCCAACTTAAGAAGCCAAATGCTTTTTGTTTTAGAATGATGACTCCCAACTTAAAAATTGTCAGCTGCAGAGGGTCCATCTTAGTTTAAATGTATCTATTATTTATTCATTTTTGTGCTTCAGTCGCGTTAAAATTAGGGTGTGTTTGGTACAAGAGAAATTTTTTAGTATCCAGGAATCACGATTACTGAGAATACATTAGAAATTGAGTTTACTTGGAATGTTACGAAAAATGTGTTTGGTTCGTTAAAATATTACTGGGAATATTGGGTAAAGATTACTGATCTCATGTTTGGTTTAGAACGAAATATGACTTGGAATATGAGGTTATTTTACAAAAATAACTTCATACTATTTTTACTTTTGTAATTGATAGATTGGGTCTATTTTTTGATGTGTGTTGGGGTATTTTTGTCTTAAAAATTGTTGTGTTTTTTCTTTACTTGGAATTCTGAATTATTATATTATTTTTGGTAATCTGAATAGTGATTTTTCTCTGTAAATCAAATTACCGGTAAACTTTGGATATCTGGGAATTGGTTTTTATTATTTTTATCAAACATGGTCTTTGACGTTTACCAAAGAAGGTTTACCAGTAGTTTTTTTTGATACTTTTGTACCAAACACACCTTTATACTTTATCACTTTTCGGTCTTTGCTTTCATTTTGCTCACTCTTTAAAATTCCAGGATTCAACCTCACCTGCGTTATCTTTAAACCCACCGCTGTTTGCGTTTGAACGGGCTGTATGAGAACTAAATTAAATTGAACATAGTTTATTACTGCATAGGAATTATGGTGTGCTCGGGAAGGTTACAAATAGAAAACAACTCGTGAAACTCCAACTTGGAAGGGGGTTGCATTTTTACGAAGTTATTTATTTTCATTTATTTAAATCCGTGATCAGAGCAGTTTTATTATTACTTGGGGTTCGCCCCCTTCGAAATGTGATAAATGTTAAAAACTATATTTACCGAGGACCGGGTTTGTGGTAAGTTCATTTTAAGTATTTTGCTTATTGTTTTATTTTGAAAATGGAAAGTCTGACCTAATTTTTTTTATTTTTTGTGAAAAAAAGAGAGAATACTGTCGTGCTTAAGCTGAGGATCTTACATAGATAACATGCATATTGTTTACTCACCTGATATCTACTTACTCTTTCTTATGGATGTTTTAGGAGCTTCTTTGTCTTACCAGAGTGTATGGTTTGTTTGAAATCAGTTTTAAAAAATAATTTTTTGATTTTCAGAAAAAAAATAAATCCTTTTGGTAACGTTTGTTTTGTGAAAAATATTAATTTTTTTTTAAATTAAATTTAGAGAACATGTTTGTATTGTTTTTGTTTTTAACTTTCTAAACAAAAAAAGTATAGAAAATATTTGTTTCCATAACTATTTTACAAAACAGTTTTAAGACAAAAAAAATCAGAACATAATGAAACCAACCCCTCTTTGATTGTTGTTTTTAAAAACAGTTTTTTAGTTTTCAGAACAAAAAAACTCGTTTGGTAAGGTTTGTTTCGTAAAAAATGTTTTGAAAACTATAACTGTTTTTTTGTTTTTAGAATCAAATTTAGAGAACATGTCTGAGTTCTTTTTGTTTTTTGTTTTGGTTTTTAACTTTCAAAAATTAAAAAATATAGAAAACAACTGTTTCCATAACTATTTTATAAATCAGTTTTAAGAACAAAAAAATTAGAACACAATCAAATAGACCCTAAATTTTTTTGTTTTTGTTTTGGCCCTTCAGTGTACTAACAAAAATATGCATCTTAATACGAAGTAACATGCAAGTATATTTAATTTATAATTTTCATAATCATATATTATAGTGATATAAGTCATCGTATGATAATAAGTTGAGTGAAAGCAAGAAATGATCTATTTTCTTTAAATTTTTTCTTGACTTACTTTGATGTTTTAAAGACATACATAATTATTTTTAATTATAATTAATATTATCAGTTTCACCTTTTAATATCTAATTCAATTTCATTTTAAGAATCAATTTAATGAAGAAAATGTGGAAGTGAATAACCAATTGACATATTTATAAATGAGAGATTGATGTGGTATAATGTATTTCAGGACTAAAATAAACATTCACTCTTGTTTCTATTTATTTAATTAATTACAGCAGAGTGTAAATTTTCGTTACTATTTGTTCTATCAGCTTAATTGTAATCTGTCAAAATGATAGTAATTTTCATCTTCAGTAAAATTTCCTATCTCCGCTCTGATTATATCATAAAATAAGTGCAAGAAATGTCATTTGGTTATAATCTATGACACTAGACATTGATTCAAGAAATGATACTATGATAGTATGCCACCCATCAAGAGAGGGTGTTAATTATTCGGCTTCACCAGTAATCTCCACACGAACACAAGCCGTTCTCAAATCTGTGAAACCTATTTGCATCTCTCACCATAAATACAATCTTCAAAACCTGTGATAAACCCTTTTAATGAATGTGTATGGCAATCACCACAAACCCTCAAGTTCTTGAAAATCCGAATCATCTTTTCTCCTTTTAGCCCACCACCAGCCAAAACCAACCCAATAGCTAATTTCTCGCTATGAACCCTCAAACTGTCCACATTTGACTCTTCCTCAACATCATACAAAGCAAAATTTACGTTATGAACATAGCCTATTTCTTCTTTCATCCTCTTCTCCATTTCTTTCAACACTTCGTGAACTTTCTCTATAAGTGGATGTGTTCCATCTCCATTGTAGAAAATGTGGATTTCCTTGTCTATCTCTAATTCTGTGCCCAACTACGTCCTGCCTCTTTCTTCAATCCCTTTCTCTTCATAGCATCTCTTATTTTTTCACTCTCTTTCCAATATCCTGCATCAGCATATATGTTTGACATCATGACATGGTAGACTGGATTATTACCATCCAAACTCAAAAGTATCTCTCCCACTTGTTTCCCCATCTCAACATCTCCATGCATTCTACAAACACTTAGCAATGTCTGCCATATACCAACGTTTGGCTTCAGGGGCATTTTCACAATGAGATCTTTTGCTTCCTTTAAGCGTCCAGCTCTTCCAAGGAGATCAACCATGCAAGCATAATGCTCTACTTGTGGTTTTCTCTGCTGATTGTTACAGAAACTAGAGAAGTATTGTTGACCTTCTTTGATGAGTCCAGAATGGCTGCAAGCTGAGAGCACTGCTAAGTAAGTTACACTGTCAGGTTCGATTCCATCCACTTGCATTTCAGTGAAAAGTTCAACTGCTTTATTCCCAATACCATGTTTTCCATAACCAGTGATCATAACTGTCCAGGAAACCACATTTCTTGCCGGCATTTCTCTGAAAAGTGCATCTGCTTGATCTGTTAACCCGCATTTCATGTACATATCTAGAACTGAGTTTGCCACAGATATTTCTAAACCATACGGGACTTTGATGGTATAAGCATGCATTTGCATCCCCTGCTCCACAAGGGCAAAATCAGCAAATACACCTATGAGACTCGATAGTACAAACCCGTCCACTTTATGTCTGCTCTCTCTCAATTGCTGAAACAAGTCCATGGCTTCTGGCAAATTGTCTTCTTGTGCATACCCAAGAATTAGTGTGCTCCAAGATATCACATTCTTCTGTTCAATTTGACTGAACACCATCCTAGCTTCAGCTATGCGCCTGCTTTTGACATATAGATCAACCAGAGCAGCTGCAACTGCTGATTGAGCCAAATAAGGAAATCCTTGTCTGATTAATGCAGCATGGATTTGCGTTCCTTCTCTTATTGCACCAAGACAACTACATGCCTTTAACGTGCTTGAGTATGTGTATTCATCAGGAACTTCCCCCTTCTCTTGCATTTTTCGAAAGAGATTTAAAGCCTCTTCACCATTTTTTCCGTGGGTGTATCCAGCAATCATTGCATTCCAACTTATAAGATTTCTTAATGGCAGAGTGTTAAATACTCGGGCAGCCTCACTAACCCTACCACACTTACAGTACATGTCAATTATAGAATTTCCCACAGCAGGTACCCAATCAAAATTAGATTTTGCACAAACCCCATGAATTTGAGTTCCATTCTCAGGGATGCCCAAAACCCCTGATGCTTTTAGACTCGTAGAAAGTGTGAACTCATTCGGCCTAACAGCTGAACGACCCATTTTAGAGAATAAAAGCAACGAGCTTTTGGCATCACCATTTTGTAAATGGCCACATATAAGAGCTGTCCAAGAGACTACATTTCTTTGGGGCATTCGATCAAACACCGAACAAGCAAGGTTCACATTGCCACACTTAGCGTACATAACAATGAGATCATTGTTTAAAGCCAAAACATGCCCAAATCCTAGTTTCTCCACAACCCCATGTACTTGCTTTCCCTGATCAAGCAAACGATGCTTCGAGCACTTGTTCAGGATCTCAGTGAATAGGTAACGCTCATTCATCGATGCAAACGAGAACTACCCAACTTGCTGTTAGAGAATTCGAAAACCGCTTCGTCACCGCCTTGAGAAACTGCGTGAAAATAGCGGAACTGAGGAAGATTCATGCCCACATTGTCAAGCTCTCACTGTCACAGAGCAACTTCTTGGCCACAAAAATGGTGGATTTATGCGACAACTTGGGCGACGTAGATTACGCGACCTTGCTCTTCGAACAACTAGTTGAGCCAAACGTGTTCTCCTACAACGCAATCATCAGAACCTACACACACAATCACCAGCATTCCCTAGCAATCACTCTTTTCAACCAAATGCTGAGACATCCAACGAAATCAGCTTTGCCTGACAAATTTACATTCCCGTTCGTGATAAAGTCGTGTGCGAGGCTTCAGTGCCATCGTCTTGGCCAGCAAGTTCATGCGCAAGTTTGCAAATTTGGGCCCAAATCACATTCTATAACAGAGAACGCGCTGATTGATATGTACGCGAAATTTGATGATTTGACCAATGCATACCAAGTGTTTGATCAAATGACTGAACGAGACGCAGTTTCTTGGAATAGCCTAATCTTTGGGCACGCGAGATTGGGGCAGTTGAAGAGTGCAAGGTCGCTGTTTGACGAAATGCCTTGTAGGACAATCGTGTCTTGGACAAGTATGATAACCGGGTACGCTAGAACAGGGTGCTATGTTGATGCATTGGACATTTTCCGCAAGATGCAAATGGTGGGTATTGAACCTGATGTGATTAGTATTATATCTGTTCTGCCGTGTTGTGCACAGCTTGGAGCTCTTGAGGTTGGGAAATGGATTCACATGTACTCGGATAAAAATGGTTTTTTGCAGCAGACTGGTATATGTAATGCACTAGTTGAAATGTATGCAAAGTGTGGTTGCATTGATGAAGCTTGGAGCTTGTTTGAGAAGTTGATTGAGAAGGATGTGGTTTCTTGGAGTACCATGATTGGAGGACTAGCTAATCATGGACAAGGTTATGCTGCAATTCAACTCTTTCAAGACATGCAGAAGACACTAGTCATTCCTAATGGGATAACTTTTCTTGCTATTTTGTCAGCTTGTGTTCATGCAGGCTTATGGAATGAGGGATTGAGATATTTTGATGTTATGAGGTTGGATTATCATATAGTGCCAGAAATTGAGCACTATGGTTGCCTAGTTGATCTTCTGGGACGCTCGGGATGCGTTGATCAGGCTCTGGACACAATATTGAAGATGCCAATAAAGCCAGATTCAAGGATATGGAACTCTTTGTTAAGCTCTTGCAGGATTCATCGCAATCTTGAGATTGCTATTATTGCAATGGAACAGATTTCAGAGCTTGAGCCAGAGGAATCTGGGAACTATGTTTTGCTTGCTAACATATATGCGGAACTTGGCAAGTGGGAAGGTGTATCAAATATTAGGAAACTAATAAGAAGCAAGAGGATAAAGAAAACGCCGGGGTGTAGCTTGATTGAGGTCAACGATGTGGTTGAAGAATTTGTATCAGGTGACGATTCAAAGACCTTTTCACAAGATGTCTTTTGGATCCTACAAGGACTGGCTTTACACCAAACTAGAGCCAATGATTTCATGGAATTTGAAGAAGATGCGGGTCAAGTTTTATAGTAAAATTATCTAGTTTGACGCTTGTTTTTTAGTTTAGCGAGTTTGCATGATTAAATCTAATTGCCTTGACCATAGAATTTCGCTACGCGTTCACTTCAGAAGGGATGAATCATATTGAAGGCAAATATTTACGAACCAAAACTGTTACTAGTGACGACAAATCGAACTGGTTGAATCGGGAACTACACTCTCCATGATACATTTTGCTTTCAATATCGAAATGGTTTAGTTCAACACGAAAATAAGCACATATAAAGGAAATAAAAGATGGCAAAGACCATATAATCTTTGTAAAGCTTACTGTCCACCAAAAAAGTAGCGAGATCAATCCAATGCCTAGCAAATAGCAACCATGTATTGTGATTTGCACCACATTATATTAAGCAGACGAAGTCTAGGATGTTTGATCAGATGGCACAATGCGTCTGTATACAGCCTGGAAAGTTTGTCCCCCATTTCTAGCAACCTTTTGGCCTTCTTCAGTTGCAGAACATAATAGCTTCACAACTGGATCGGCTTCAAGTTCTATATCAGTCAAGGCTTCGAACATAGGGTGATTCTCCATACAAGACTTCATCCAGTCCCCAAGTTCTTCTACGTCTGTTATTGTGTATATAATTCCACCAACCTCAAGAACATAAGCATACTCATCTAGCAAGAATGGACTAATAACCCGACGGCGATGATTCTTCTCTTTAAAATGAGGATCAGGAAACAAGAAAAACATCTTTGATAGTTGTCCTTTCTCAAAGTAATTGGGGATGTACTTCATGGAGTTAGTCCGCACCACGGAAACATTTTGGTATTGACCTGGATTTGCAACCCTTAAAGATGAAATCCGTTCCTTGACATATTCACTCACTTTATCTCTAAGTTCCATTCCAATCATCAGTGTTTCTGGGAACAGAGTGGAAAGACTGATAAGCAGACCTCCAAAACCACAGCCAATATCAGCAAACTGGATCTTTCTGGAAGTATCTGCTTGACCAGACGGTGGAAAGAACTGAGGGTAATGGAGGGAATAGTCAACGTGACAGGGGGATATTGGCACAGGGAAGTGAGAGTCACTCAGTGGATTGCTGTGTGCTCGTGCTCGATAGAAGCGCTTTCGAGGCAATCCAGTTGACTTGCTGATAGTTGGATTTACCACAGTCTCTGGCATGTCTATTTATTCAAACTGCAGTATAGTAAAAGCCAGAATTTTCAGAATCAAGACGATATACACTGATAGTAGATAAAGAAACATATTGTCTATTATAATACCGAAGTACATAATACAGGCGAAAAACTTTGAGCAAATAACAAGGTTCCATCACTTTTCAAGTTATTGATTTTCAATCAGGCATCTTAGTTTACACTTCGCACATCAACAGAAAAATGAAGAATACGCTAAGATCAGACCTTAATATGAAGCAGGTCGAAGATTAAAATTTAGAAACGAGTTTCATCTAACCTACTAAACTGAGATACCTGTACATATTAAAGTACACCACAAAATTTATGGTCAGTTTTCGTTGTCTTCATATTCAATCCGTTATTTTAAATATTATCAGCGAGGTTTCTTGGAACAGAAAAACAAAGTAAATAAATATAGGAGGACTCAATATAAAAGAGCAAATTAAATAAGAAATGCAGGTTCAACCACAACTGGAATGATTTGGTAAACACATTACAAACTAAACTCGGTCTTGTCTTATTAGCAACCAAGAAAGCAAGATTAGGGGGAAAAAAATGCATATTTCTAAATGAATGAATGATCATCAAGTTAAGATGAAACAAAGGCCATGGATCCCTTCGTGCTGCAACTTATAAAGTACTAAAATTTATTTAGCAGGTAGCATAAATTGAAATCGTATCAGCCAAGGAATATCCCCATTATTACGAGTAGATTGTCTGCGTATGCATATTTCAAAGCATACATACATGCGTCGACAGATTCGTTAATTTCTAATTGAAGTATAAATCGAAAAATCTGAATAGCTTAGCCATAGTCTTCCAAAAACAATATTGTCTTCCAAAAAGAATGCAGTAAGATATAAACTTGCTTTAAGGAGGCTTGAATAGTCATAGTCAAGACCCAAAATTCACAATGATTAGTTGTAGATAGTTAAACATAACTAATTCTATGACTCAAGAATACCTCAACAACACAAATTACAAAGAAACCAACTCGGTTCCAATGCTTTTCTTATTATGTTATAATTATTGATAAAAAATTGGACGACTATTTCAATAAACTTTGAAGAATCGAAATGTATTTCGGTATTTCCTACCTATGGAGTAGCACAGGTACATAGAAAATCATATAAAGAGCGTGATTAGAAGATACGAGAAAAGATTGAGAACTAGAGAAGGTTGTGAAAATGATGAAAAGGACAAGAAAAAACACTTTTTTTTTTTGTCACAAAATGTTTGGATAAAATAAAGAGCGTTTGAAAAGAATTAAAAAATAAATTATATCCAGGAGTTGTTCATTGTAACTTTTGTTTTTGTTTTAGGCCTTTGGGCCCTTTCCATAGCCAAAAAAAAAAAAAAAACTACAAAATTACAATGTAATATTGCTCGATAAAAAGTATATAAATTTATCAAATAATAAATAAAGGACCCAAGTAAAATGCTATGTATTTGATGTAAATAATTAAAAACTGACTGACAGTAATTTGAAGATAAAGGTAATTGAACCTTGTTATGTTTGTGGTGTAGGAATTACGGCGAGCACCTGGTGTGCATATTAACATGCATGACATTCCACACAAATGACATAGTGAGCATCATACAATACTTGACACGAAAAACAAAACTCAATTTTACTCAATAGCGAAGTCAAGGGACGAGGAACAAGAACCGTAACCAATTTGCTACAGAGAATAACTGATCGCAATCACAAAAAAACATTAAAATCAAAAAAACAAAAAGGACATTTGGGATTGATTAGGTTACCTAACAAAAAAATTTGGAGTCACTTTGCTGATATTGAATGCAGTCACTTTGCTGAGCTTCCTGCGATATCGGTTTTTGCAGTAACGAAACGAAGAGGGTGAAATGGAAACACAATGAAGCAGAGTGGGGAGAGAGGGAACAATGTGTTTGGGCTCGCATGTTATTGGATCTTCATCCTCACCTGCCCAAAATGTGGGCCTGTTATATTTGGTATTGGCCCTATGTTTTTTTGTTGTACTTAGTATAGTTGGAAAAAAAAACAGGAAAAAGCATTTAAGAGAAGGAGAGATTATACATACTATTGAAAATTTTTATAACTTTTACTATTAAATTAATTATTGTTGATTTCTGCCAATTTAGTTATAATTTATTTGGAATTAAAAATTAATTAATAAGCGTACCCAATCAATTATAACTGTTAGATTGACATAAATCAACGGTGATTAGTTCAGTAGTAAGAGTTGTAAAATTTTTCAGTAGTAATTGTACCGTCCCCTTTAAAATATTTAATCATCACAAAATACCGCCCACCAAAAACCAAAAAGTGGATGCCACAAAGAAATATAATAGCTCATTTTCCCTTTCGTCAGCTTGCTTGATAAACGAGTTCTTTGATACTGATTTAGATGCTTGACTTTCCTTGAATATTCAAAATGTATCTATTTTGTGCTTTGATGCCTCCTGGTCGTTGGTTTTTGCTGTTACTGTTTGGTTAGCTTGGCAGTGGAGAAGCGGGAATAGTCGCCATGTTAGCTACTAGCTACTATTCGGTAGAGCCCTTACTCCATTCCCTAATAGGAATGGCGGGCTCGTGTTCTCTTATTAATTGCTATGCATTCATAATCAAGAAGTAGGGTTAGCTACCCTATCGCTCCCTCTCCTCACCGTATGACGGTGCAGTCCGTAGAGAATCTGATTCGTGAGTATACACAAGCCTGGATAACTTCTAAAGGGACAAAGCTGACCAAAAATTATATTTCTGTTTCTATTAGATGGTTACCTCCGGACACAGGTTGGGTGAAATTAAACACGGATGGTGTAGCCAGGAGTGATGGCAGGGGTGCTGCTTGTGGAGGAATTATAAGAGATAAAAATGGTTATTTGATAGATGAGTTTGCTTACTATATTGGCCATTGTTCAGCTTTTGTTGCAGAATTATAGGGCGTCCTCAAGGGTCTTGAATTTGCTTAGGCTAGAGGTTGGAGACGCTGCATCCTAGAAAGTGATTCAAGCTCAGTTATCACTTTGCTCTCCAGCAGTGGAAGAGCAGCTTGAGAGTCTCGCTTAGTGACTCGAATTCGAGTATGGTTACAAAAGAATTGGGAAGTTCACCTGGCTCATGTTTTTAGAGAAGGAAATAGTTGTGTAGGTTGACTTTCTAAATATCCTTTACACTATCCTGTTGTGAATAATTTTTGTGTTTTTTCAAATCCTCCCCCTGGTAATTGGCCTTTGTATTGGGTTGATTTGTCTTTGTCTTGTAATTTCAGAACGATTTTATTGAATTGATCTCTTTGGGGTGTTGTTGTTAACCCCCTTAGATTACCCAAAAAATAAAAAATTCTCATGTGCATTCTTTTTTTTATTTTATAAACTACATGTATCTTTTATGAGAGACAATTTTATTCAGGGAGGGTCTAGGATTAAGGCTTAAAATCTCTTCCAAAGATGATATTGGAGAGGATCAAATACATGCTCTCATCCCATCTACTCAGTTCTTTTGCGCCAATTGAACTACCACCATTTGGTGCATACTTTTCTTCCTTTTCTTTTAGTTCGTAATAATATCATAAATGGATAGAAGCCAATGTAATGGTTGGATTGTTAAGCTAACATCTATTTATTTATTTATCTTGAGGGGAAATAGAGAAAGAAGATGGCCTCAAAGAGAGAAAACATATATGATATGAGGAGAGAAGTTTGGATAGAAAGAGACATGACTATTTCTTCTTTTTTTAATAGGTTTCATATCTTATAAAAAAAATTGGAGAAGTGAATTTATAATTTTATTCTAAAATCAATTTAGTCTTTATAGTTAAAAACTTTAACTAATTATAATCTAAAAAAACTTAATTATCTAACTCTACCAAAAAAAAAAAAAACTGTCCTTTTCTAATCCATTAAATGTAGAATATTATGATTTTTCTTTTTAATCCATCATTGTACGAGTAAGGTTGATTAAAGAATAAGTCAACAAAGCATACCAAAAAAAAAAAAAAAAGAATAAGTCACAATAAAAATAATGTTATTAAGGGATTGGAATTACGGATAGTAAACCCAAGAACCAATATTGTTGCAGCAAAATATTATGTGGCGCTCAAACTTATTGTAGATAAGCTAAAACCTTCAATTGTATCATTAATCGAATTTCCAATCTAGGAATGCTCGTCGTGTTCATCCTAATTTTCGTAGAGGCGCGGTGTTTGGCATTATGAATGTTTTAAGATTTATAACAAAGAGAAGTAATAATTTTTTGGTTTCACAGTTTGATGATTAACTTGTAAATGTACGTAATTGTGTTATTTTTTTATTTTATATATTTAATAAGTTTTTTTTTAAAAAAATATTAATTATACGTATTCTTAAAAATAATTTACTTAAATTAGACATGAAAATAAAATTTTATTAAATAAAAATATATTATTCCTAGCTGAGTAAAGTAGTTATTAAATGTTTATAAAAAAAAAAGTAGTTATTAAATAAGTTTCGATAACTTGTCTATCAATCTTATATTTAAGAATGACATTTTCAAAAATATAGTTGATAATTAAACATTTTCATGTACAAGGGTATGTATGGCAAACAAATTGTACGTTCTCCGTATGCAATTGCAAGTTTTCGTAAGATTTATGTCCTTCATCGATGCATCACTCACTCTCGCTATGTTCTCTAAAACCAGTGCCCAAAACGTGTCATTCAGATCACTCTACGAGATGCGTAACAGCGTGAGTACAAAGTCTAAGTACATGGGGAAGGGGTTTGTAATCTTTTTCCAACCTAACACACTGATCATAATTTTGATAATTTGTACAAGAAAAGGCACACCAGCAGATTAAATACAACAAAATTATATATACTGAATTGGTTGGCTTCATTGAATGGGAAGTTCGTTTGATTTACTTAAAAAGTAAGAGACGCTGTAGTATAAAAAATTAATTTTATTTAATTTGTAAATAATGTAAGTATCAGATAATTTTTTTGCAAAAATATATATATAATTTAAATTATTGTATAAATGAAATTAGTTATAAAATTTTATCCACTGCAACAAAAAGACCAATAACCTTTGTCACTTTATTATTTCAGTTTTAAAGAAAATAATGCACAACATAAAAGATATTATAATAAATGAGGAAACTATTTCTCCTGTCACTCACTCGAGAATAAAGATATATCTCCAAAACTATGTTAATTTGGAAATTGAGAGAATTTATGAAGGATATCTTAAGAAGTTTATTTTTTTTTTATATATAAATTTTATCAAAACACCGTTCATTAATTTACTCAACTTTCAAACTAACGTTAATTTTGAAGTTGGTAGAGATAACTTTAACGATAAACCCATAATAAATCTTGTATTGTTTTATTATTATTTGTTTAAATAATTTTATTTATATTATTTCTTTTTATGTATCAAATCGCAAAATATTATCCACACGATATATCTATACAAAAAAAATAAGGAAACGTGTAGATCACACCAATAGGTTAAAATAATGGGAAAAATATTTCTACTTTTATATGACACAACTTGTGTTATTTCACTCTCACAAAAAGATAGAACCCACATTTTTATTTTTTTTATCTACTTTTTCTCCCATGATTTATCTTTTTCTCTCACTTCAAATGACACAATTTTATATCCTTTAAAATGACACATATTTTTTACAAAACAATAGAGAGTTAATATAGCGCAGTTCTCTTAAAGTTTCGCCGTTTCTTTTATGCATGGGAATATGTTTCTGTCCAAACAACCACCCTTTTGAATATATTGTGTCCTCTTTGGAAACAAATATTTATGTTGCGCCAATATCGTTATTTCACTTTTCTTTCATCTTGTAACTATTAATTACAACAACTTAATTAAATTATGCATTTCTGATAAAAGTTAGCTTAATCACTATGTTAATTATGAAATGACCTATTGGTAAGTTGCACCTCTTGTTTTTTGTTTTTTATTTTGAAGTGCTTAACAAGTAAGATAACATGCATAGCCTGTCACACATTTAGAGTTAGGGCTCTTCTTTACGTCTTCGCTTCCTCCATTTTCGTGACATATGCACGTCAATTACTTCACCATTAACATTGACAAAGTCGTTGCAAGATATATAAACTAAATTAAAACGATCTTGATGGAGAAAAATAATACGAGATATATCTATTGTTTCCATTACGTACGTAATTAAAGTATGATATTTAATTGAGTAAGTAAACAGTGAAAAAGATGGATAGAATTCTGCTAAAATTAATTTGTCACAGTTCAAGGTAGAAAGTTGAATAAATCAAAATGACGGCTAGTACTAATTTATTTAATTAAGACTTAATAATAAAAATTCTAACTTACTTTAGCAGAAATTCTGACAAAAAAATTCTGATTTCATAATATTTTTCTTATTAAATTTTGTTTTTGAACAAATGGATAAGAAAACTTAAATTTTTTATTAGCTAAATTACACTTTTATCCTTTAAGAAATCAATGCTTAAATTATATTGTCTTACCTTTTTTAGATATTAATGTATATTATATTTTAATTCATTTTAATATAAATAAATCTCTTACCGATCATTTTTCTCTCTTGTGACTATCAGCATTATGCTGTTGGGCTACTTTTGAACCACCATTGTTGATGTTGGGAGTTGAAAAGAGGAAAATAAAGATTTTATGTAAAATCTCAAAGTTAATAATAGGCGGCGATTTTCAAAATTTCATTTAATTATCCAAAGTTCCAAAATTGATAATAGGAATATTGTTTAAAAGGGCAGGATCAACTTACACCAATAATAAATCTTATATCAAATTTTAACAATTAATTTTTGTATATATTTAACAATTGTGATTTAGTGGATTACATTTAATTATTAATAAATTATGCACAAAAATTAATATATAAGACT